TAATTTTATACATTTCTTGTGAAAGAAACATTTCTTATTCAACGGCCATAAAAATTATTTCTATTAATGATGTCTCCAAAGTTCAACGAATTTTTCGCAGAAAAATAACATCAGAAATCGCGGCCGCCGTTTGGTGCACTGCTCCGCGACGAACACAAGCTTAAGCAATGGCGACGTCGAACGGTTCACACTCTGTAAGTAATCCTACAATTTTTTGTTTATAGCATAGTTTATACGGATTATTCCCAAAAAATTATACGTATTTTGGAAATGTTAAGTCGAATTAGTCTAGAATCGATTAATTTTATGGAAGAAAATCTTTCAAACAGCCGTAGTCCGTAAACTTCACAAGTGTCGGGCTGAGATTGGCTCATGTATTTAAGGGTTCCTACAACGCGAAATTCGTATAACGAGGAACGTATCTACCGCGTTATAGGGGAGTCTACTGTATATTATTAGTATATCTGAAGTACAGAGCTCCCGTTGGGATTCGGCTTGCTCCCTTGTTTATTACGTACATTACCTCAGTGCAGGGTATTTACATTTATTCAAGTGTTGTGCAAATCATGGCTTCTAAAAAAACAGAAAGGTGATTTCAATTGAAGCAAAGCAAGAAATCATCAGGAGTGAAAGTTGACAAAAAGTTTTGTCAAATGGGGAGAGGTTCAGTTTACCAACACTCATTATCCAAACAGAGCTGAGGCCAACAGGATCAATGATCTCTACAATGACACCCTTGCCCGTCATTTCCAACAGGTGTCGAAGAAGACAGAGAAACAGACCATCTTGGACATGTTTTGCAAGAAGCCAGCAGGCAAAAAACAAAGGATGGATCAAGAGGAGTTGACCCTACAAGCTCCGGTAGCCTCTCCTGAATCTGACTTCGATTAAAAAACAATAAAAAGAGACCTGCTGCAATGTGTAAAAAGTCTGTATCTGTATGAATGTGTGAAAAGTGATCCTCCACCTCCTCCTTACAACATATGACTACCCGGCATAATTGGTGACTGCTCCATTTTTATTTTTTTATGATACAGTACAGTTATTTTGTGTTACGGAACGAATTATATGTTTTAACATGTATTTCTATGGTAAAATGCGTTTCGTATAACGGACTTTTCACTTAACGGACGTGCACCTGGAACGGATTAAGTACAGTACGTTTACGAGGCACCACTGTACTTTAAATGTTCCAATTCCGATATTCAAATGGGGAAGACCTAAAACTACAATTAATTTAAATCAGATGCATTTATTTTCAATTCGAGTATCGTGACGGTTATAAAACGTTAATGCATTTCGGGGTCATTGTAGTTAATCCCTTAGTCAGAACGTACTGTTAAACAAACGAGACAATTTTTTTTTATTAATTACCGAAATCCTTTTATAGAAGTAAAAACAGTATAAAAATAATAATAAAATACTTAAAATTATTCATCTCGACAGTTACGAAGGGAGACAGTATTGGCGACGAAATTAAATATCGAAATGGAAAAGGATTGTCATTAATTGTCGAACAATAGTTGTTGACGGCCTTAAGATTTTATTTCCGGAATATAGCTGGCAACCTTTTCTGACGTCAAAAACAAATAACCAGATTGGCCGAACGACTCCTAAAACGGGAGCAATGACGAAGAAAACAAGAGCCAATGTTTCGCCGAAGTTCGTTTAGAGGGCGTTCAGAAATAGACAATCGTCATCTTTGCAATGCATTTTAAACCACGATTCAGCCAGCCAACGTCTATAGGCCGTTCTGTTGTTTAACGTAAACTCTGTTTCTGCAATCATCTGGAAAAGTTTTTCCTAACCGATAATGGGGCGAGATGAACCAATTCAATTTCTGCCCATCTCCCGACATATCCTGGACTTTTTTCCGCGGCGTAGGTTTTTGTTTCAGCTTCACACGAAAACAAATATGGCAGGTAACATGCTTATAACGTTCTAAAACAGTTTAAAACATACAGGTTCGGGGAGGATATACAAAATCATAACCGGTAAAAACACGTACAGTACTTGTGAAGCCTCAGGCCGTGCATTTTAAACTCTCGCCGCAAAGATCAAAATAAAAAAATCTTAGAGATCGATGTAAATTGACAGTAATCAGAAACTCGATTGACATATACGTGCGACAAACTTACAAGTATATCTATGGGCTATCGGCCCATAGATTTTACAAAGCGAATTTCGACCACAGCCCATAAATCGAATTTCATAATTCCGGTTTTCGTCACACCCAGTCTTGCCGAATTGTAGATATTTGCAAAAAAATCACGTTCAGTGGTCGAACAGTTGCTTTAAACTTCGATCAGACAAAACACTTTGACTTATACAGAACTCCGCTCAATTACCGATACTGTACTGTACAGTACATTGGTCATGAATTTTTTAAAACTCATTCAGCAGTATACTCTACTAAAGCTTAGTAAAACTTTTTTCGTTTAAAGTAAATCGTAATAAATTACTGTACTGGGTATCAACCTTCGTTTTCCATGTCGTCCCGCAAGGTCGGACTTTCGTAAATTCAACAATCCCGCTCTTAGAGTTATCGGGAATTTATAGCAATATCAACATAAATTAGCCTATAAATTAACTTCAAAACTACTTATCAATAGGTATTGAATCTAGATTTATTTAACAACTTTTTTCGCATATTTCATAAAATTGTATAATTATGTTAATAAATCAATTTTCAGAATATTTTATAACTTTATATCATTACATACGAGGAGGTTTTACTGTAGGAGTTGAATTCTGAACTTCTGGATTTTTATGAGATCCATCACAAAATGGACGATGTTCAGTTTGTTTACAATTACAAAACCAATATTCTCTTGTTGATCGACAAATGAATCTTATTGGTTTCATCGTTATTTTTAGTCTCTCATTTTTGCAGGTTTCATCACAAAATGGCTGCAAATAACAAACATTATTTATTAATAAATCATGTTAAGATATTTTAATGAAATCATTTAAAAATAATGTAATGAAAACCTAAATCTTTTAAGTTTAAATTTGATTTTTTTCTTCTTTCCTTTGTCTCAAAGCAAATACAGTATATATATTTAATGTAGTTCTTAAAATAGGCTGACCACAATTTCTTGATACCAAAACGACACAGGGGAGCCGCAGCTGATAAAGTCCATCCCTTACTAAAATTCCGTCAAGAAACAAGCGTTATTAGCGCAACTTTTTAGTGTATTATTATATAGTAACGAACCAATTTATCTGGCTTCTAGAAATCCGGAATTACCAGAAAAACGGCTATTTTTTTGTGCTGCAAGTTGAAAAAATTATAGATTATAAATTCTCACTGTCACCCGTCTGTCTATCCTTCCTTAATCTCGAGAACGGAGTTAGATACATTAAAGTCAAGACCAAGTATAGAAAGCTGAGTGGTAGAAGGCCCCGATTAACTATATATGAATCATCCAGCCCGAATTTGGCCAACTGTAGCACAGCTGTATTTAGCAGCGCAGCCGTTTGTTTCCATGGAGTAAGAGTCGCATGGAGTTCTATTTTGCTCTTCTGTTTAAATTTCATCCTAAATATTGCATTATAGGCTACATAGTAATCTATATTTTACAAAAAATAATAATAATCATACAGACCCTGCTTCAGAAGTGTATTAATTTGTATCTGTCAAATAAAATTTTGGTTTTTACGAGTACTTCTCAGTATTTAAGTATATATTTAGCCCAAGTTCAGAAAACCAGAACACTTTCGCCCCAAGCTTGCCAGATATTTAATGCGATACTGCATTGATCTAATGACAAAAAAGTCCAGAAACGAGTTGGGTAGCTTTTCGGGCCAAACTTTAATTGTGTTTGGCGCTATCTGTTATGAGATCTTATTTAAAAACTTTTTATATTATTATTATAAAATGGCAATAAGCTTACTTTTGAGGGGTAGAGACGAGTTTTAGAAAAAACTGCATATGCTAATAATGAGTGAAATCTTCATTAAGTCCGATCCTACTCGAGATATAACAAGTGACCCCTTCTATCTCCTCACCTACCTTGATCTTTAACCACCAAAATTTAATAGTATCAATCCTCTAACACACAAACCTCCTGCAAAATTTCAGAAATTTTCGACAAAAAGAACAGTAGCTAGTAAGCTTCAAAGTGGGTGAATGAAATGATGCAACACATAAATTCCCCCGAACTTTTTTGCATTTCTTGACGTTTCAAGGTGTTCTGAGTCCAAAAATGAAAAAATCTGGGGGGGGTTCATTTTTCGCCGAATCGCTATACAGTAGAGCATCGATTATCCGACTCAATTGAGGACTGGGGTTGGTCGGATAACCGAAAAGTATGAAAAAATCCATTATTAGTGTAGTATATTATTATATCCCATGTAATTAGTATATCGCTATTAACCTACTTCGCGTTGAATTTTCTTCCATGTTNGGATTTGTTTCATACGCTAAAAAGCGAAACGAAAACATTGTAACAACTCACTGCTTCATTCATCGTGAATCATTGGTAGCAAAGACAATAGGCTCTGAACTCAAAAGAGTGTTAGAAGGAATTATTAAAATGGTTAATTATATCAAAGCTAGACCATTAAAATTGCTTATATTTGCAAAACTATGTGAAGAGATTCAATCTCATCATAATAACCCGCTTCTTCATACCGAAATGAGATGGCTTTCGGAAGGTCGCGTATTAAATCGTGTTTTTGAGGTTAAAGAAGAAATATTAATATTTTTTCAACATGAAAACAAACCAGAATTTTGTGTATTATTACAAAATGATTCTTGGTGTTCCAAACTAACTTATTTAACAGACATATTTGATCACCTGAACAAGTTAGACTCAAGCATGCAAGGTAGAAATGAAAATATTTTAATATCTGTAAATATTAATTTTATCTACAGATATTAAAATATTTTCATTAGCTTTCAAAGCTTTTAAAGATAAAATTAAAATGTGGAAGATAAAAGTAAACGCAAATAATGTAGAAATGTTTATTCAAGTTGCCAAAGGAAAATGTAACAATGCAAATTTGCAAAAACTTATTTACAGTCATTTAATGTCGTTAGAAGAAAACATTAACCATTATTTACCTGACATATAAGTTGATTTATACGACTGGATTCGAAATCCTTTTATAGAGACAACATCAGAAATAAGTTCAGTCTTGCAGAAGCCGAAGAATTACTTGATATACGTAACGATCGTACGTTAAGATTGAAGCATTCAGAAATGAGTCTGAATTCATTTTGGATAACAATTATGAAGGAATATCCCAATATACGATTGAAAGCACTTAATATTTTATTGCAGTTTTCCACATCGTATCTCTGTGAAGTGGGATTCTCTACACTTGTAAATATTAAAAAAAAGAAGAGAGAAAGACTTGAAAATTAGATGAGGATATGTCTCTCAAAAACACCACCTAATATCAAGGAAATATACAAACACTACCAGGCGCATACTTCACATTAAGTTCACATTTTATCACCAGATACTTTTGTAATAATAACTTTTGTTTTGAATGTTTTTGTGTTGTTTGGAAATAAACTTACTTACTTTAAAAAACTTTTATTTTTTTCAAAGACTTCTCATCCTTCATATCTTTACTAACCGTAAAAAAGCAAAAAAACAAGAAAGAAAAAGAAAAAAAATAATAATAGGGGTGCCGGGAATTTTGTTTAATAATTTCAGTGTGCCACCAGACAAAAAAGTTTGAGAAACACTGCATTAGACCATTGGTGGGCCTCTGAAAAAAGAATTGACGGGTTACAAAAAGTATTAGAGAGGTTGCAGCCGATCTTTTCATCGCGAAGACGTGAACGTCGGATGTCGAGTGCCGCAATCTGGCAAGTCTAGAAGGTTGACATTGGCGTTTGCTAGGTCTAGCGTAGTGGATAGAAGTTCGGCTTAAAATTCTTCATTTTTTCGTGTTTGGGCTTAAAATTATGACGTATTTTATTATAAAATAATGATTATTTAAGCATTTATGAATATATTGTAAAGAAACAGATGCTTTTAATGCAGAAATTATTTAATTATTCAATTCTTTTGCAAGTGATGTAAAGTGAGTGCCTATAGAATTTACATATATTTCTGTTCATAATAGCTTATCATAATTGTACAGGAGTACGTTTGTTCTTTCACAGCATCTACCATCAACAGCGTAATACGTTTGTAAATTTTAACAATAAGTTCCCAAGCTGCTTTCGAATTTATATAAGCCACTACTTCCCTCTACAAAAGTATGAGGTAGTCCTATCGTGCGGTAGGAGACACGACGCTAATTAAAAATAATTATTTAGTGTTATTAAACATCCTATAAATACTTTAAAATAGCTTAATTTGTTTATTTACCTTCGCTGGTAACATTCGTCATTGTTAAACGTTTCCTCCAGTTTTCAACAATATACCATGAGTCTTTTTTTTAACTCTTTCCGCCCTGCGGGCACTAAGAGGGCCTCTTTTTGCAAGCCCACTATGGGTTCGGCCAGGACGACAATGGTGCTGCCGGGTGGTGAGGGACGGAGCCCGACTTATCCGAACGGACCACCCCCGAAAAATTCCTGGGGATTTTTCGACCGGTTCGGATTCGAGCCCGGGTCCTCCAGAGCTGCCACTTGACCGCTCGGCTATCCGGCCGCTATATACCATGAGTCAGTGCGCGACGTGAACGTGTGGCGCAACGTGTTTCACTTGGATTCAAACGTCAAACGTGTACTTCTGCTTGCCGTACAAGTTTAACGTTTGAACTTAGGCCGCAACCTCTCTATTATGTATTTATGGAAAACATAGTATTATTATAGTATTATAGTAAAGAATAGACGGCGTTACTCAGAGGTATTTCCGTAAAGTGGGTAAAAAGAAGTGAGAAGAAAGTAGACGTAAGAGAAAGTATTGGTGGCAGGGGCCAAAGGGGATGGAAAAGTGGGAAGGAAGATAGAAGAGGAAGGGTCCCTGACGCGCATATGAATTTATTAATAGACGTAAACAGAAATATTACAGAGCAAAATATAAGCATAACCTTTAAACAGAATGCCCAGCTCGGGCTACAAAATAAAACACGATAGCAAACTTATGTACATAATATTATTTACAATGGCAGTGCTTTGCGAATTTAACAGAGAAGAATGGCCGAGTACAGCAGTAGCAGTGAATACAGTGGCAGAGTGAAAAAGCTGTATACATTGATCAATTACATAGAAGATTACATTGCAGAGATAACTTAATGATGAAGCCGGGAGAACACTGGAGAGTTTGCATAGTAGAGAATTTTTGAGAGTAAGACTGGGGTACAATGAAGGGAAAGTTTGTCCCTGTATTAATTTTGTTTGGTGGCATGAGGGTCTTCAGGTATCCTTACACGGAACGGATCCAGGGCGGCAGTGTCTTTTAAAAACTTGTTGACTGCGATGTAAGATTCTCGCTTCTGGATAAGTGTTTTATGGTGGCAAGGCCAACTGTAGTTGTTCTTGAGGATTTTACCTATTAGTGCAGTTCTTTGATGTTCAAAAAGTTTACAGTCCCACAAGAAATGGTTAATGTCTTGAACCGCTGTGCCGTTGCATGGGCAAGTGTCGCTGTCCTNGATTTCCGCCGTTTCAATATTATAACTTCTTATTTTGATGATATGAAACCGTGCTTTGCAATTCGTTTATGCTTCTAACACAATAAAGTGCTATAAATTAAGACACTTGGCGGGTTGTCTCATCTTTATTTAGTTGACTTCTTTAAATTTTTGATGATTTCCGCCGTTTCAATATTATAACTTCTTATTTTGATGATATGAAACCGTGCTTTGCAATTCGTTTATGCTTCTAACACAATAAAGTGCTATAAATTAAGACACTTGGCGGGTTGTCTCATCTTTATTTAGTTGACTTCTTTAAATTTTTGATGATTTCCGCCGTTTCAATATTATAACTTCTTATTTTG